ACTGAACCAGAGGACATCAGTGGGGCCAGGCCCCGCCTGTGAGACCAGGAGCCGGAGCAGGGCCTGAGCCCCCGTGGCCTTCCTTCCTGAGGTCTGTGACCCTCGGGGGCTGCCCTCCCCCCGCCAGCACATCTCCGGCCTAAGTGATCTGCAGGTTGCATCTACGAGACCATCCTCAGGGCGTGGGCCTGGGACGGGGTGTGGTGTGGACGGGCCACCCCTCCCGCGTGCCCGCTCCTGGTGGGCTCTGTGGCCGCGGGAAGGGCGCAGGGTTTTTCCCAAGGGTCTCCTCAGCTTCCTGAGGCTGAGGTGGGGAGGTGGCTCTGGCTTGGCCCTGGCTCGGCTGCGGACGCCCCAGCTCTAATACCCAGGGCCAGGGCCAGGAACAGGAGGGACTGAGAGAGACCCTAGCTCCTGCCCCCCTACATCCCGCAAGCGGGGGCTGGCAGGGCTGCAGAACTACAGAACAGCCTAGAGCTGAGGAAAACCGGCCCCAGCTGTGGGGTGTGCCCCTCGCCTGTCTGCAGTGCCTGGGTCCTGGGCTGGGGGCCCGGGAAGGGTGAGGAGGAGGCCGGCCGCACACACGGGGCCTGGTGCAGGCCGCTGCTGTCTTGGAGAGGGAGCAAGTCTAACATCCTCCGGGGCCGCTATTTCCCATGCAGTGCGCACGCTCAATTTAAAAGGCCCCTGTGTTCCAGCAAGCGAGCAAGCGGGCTTTTGTTTCTAATGCATACTGTGAAAGGAAAAAAAATCACAGTTATCCACCTTCTCAGGGCCCATGGGCATTAGAATTTTTTAACCATCAATCAGGAAAGACTAGCCTTTGTCTCAGGGTGAGCACCAGCGGCCACTCCCTGCAGGGCCACAGAAGGACAAGTGGCACGCACGGTGCCATCTGGGCCAGCTCTGCCCGTATCTTTGGCTTCGGGAGCCCCAGAGCATCAGCCTGGGCGGCAAGAGAGGGAGGCCTGTATCCTCCCCACAGGTGTGAGGGCTCAGAAGACAGAGCCGTGAGCCTCACTGGGTCTTTTTGGCAGAACAAGTAAGGTGGGGAGGAAGAGGAAGGCAGGAGTGTGTGGACAGGTATGGGGTGAATCCTCGGCTCCTCACAGCAGGCAGGGACCCCGACAGGCTGCATGCAGTGGCAGGTGTTGAGCTGGGCAGGCGACACGGAACTCTGGCAGCTCCGTCCTCCCCACCCTCTCTCTCCATGCCTGACACACCTGTCAGCTCCTGGAACTGAGAGGCAGGTCCCACAGGGCAGGAGCCTGACTGCCAAGGAGCCTGGACCCCTAGCTGTTCATCCCCCACGTCTCCGGGCAGCTCCCTCCCTGGGGAGCATGGGGGGTGGGGTACATGCACTTGGCCAGGCCAAGAAGGAAGGGTGACACACACCAAATTCGATAACCAACAGAGACATGTTTTGGCCGGCCCCCTGCTCCCACCAGGATGTCCCACTCCCCGAGTGCAGTCTCTTCGGCCTGCACCCAACACGCTTCTCAGGCGGAAGCGGGGGGCGGGCTCCCGCTGCGATGGTCTCTCGGCTCCCTCTGTGGCCGCCTCCTGGACCGTGGGCGGAGGGCACGGGGAGACGAGCCTCGGCCTCTTGCCCCCTGCGCTGGGGCTGCAACTGTGGGGTGTTCCTCCCCAGGCTGGGGCCCTGCCCTGGGCCACCACAGTCCTCCCTCTCCTCGGGCAGGTTAACAATTGCTGCTGTTTCTGAACTCGCCGTTCTCAGTAATCTGCAATTTGGTGGGGTTGGTGGGGGAGATGCCGTTACGGGCCTGCATGCTGTACCTCTCTTTCAGCTGTGTCAGGGCGCTCATGAGGCGGGCGTTGGCAGCGTCCAGGGAGGCGATGCGCTTCTCCTGTGGGCAAAGAGGGCGTGGATCGGGGTCAGAGGGCCCTATGAGAATGCGGGGACGGGGGGAAGGTGGCCTGGACGAGATGCCGGGATGGGGGGAGTGCACCACACGCGAAGGGTGGGGAAGGCACAATCGGGGTCACAGAGCCCTACGAGAATGCGGGGACGGGGGGGAAGGTGGCCTGGACGAGATGCCGGGATGAGGGGAGTGCACCACACGCGAAGGGTGGGGAAGGCACTGAGGCTGTGGCACAGGGGACACGAGTTTGGGAGGACGTGGCCTTGCCATCATGGACCCCCACCTCCTTGAGTCTGCCTCCCCAAGATCTCTGTCAGACCGCCTGCTTCTAAACCCACACAGAGCATCTCTAGCGGTCATCCAGTAGCCACCCGAGGACCCAAGCGCAGGTGCTCTGTTCATGTGCGTGTACATGTGACGCACAGGTGACAGCTCCCGGTCAGTGTGCGCGATTTACAGTCTGAGCAAGGCCTGGCCCTCTTCTAAAGCCAGTAAGAGGAAGAGGGCGCATCCCTGGGTGAAGGAGAGCGGAGGCCAGACTCTCTAACGTGTCTCCCCTCTCAGTGCAGTTGGGAAGATGCAGCTCTGAACAAGAGAGCCCCCTCCCCTCTGCCCAGCCTGTCACCCCCAGCCCTCCCAATAGCTTCCACTCTTTGGTAAACAGCCCTGGTGAAAGGTGATACCCATCGGGCTGCCCCACCCCTTTCACAGCCTGTCCTAGTGAGCTTGTGGTCCACCGAGACCCTCGAGTCTGACCCTCTTGGAGCAGAGATCCTGGTTTCTTATTCCTCCACAGCTTTTGTAGCGGGGCATGACTGAGGATGGGGAGAAGCCAAAATCATCCCCTCCTCATCCCACGTCCTTTACCACCTGTGGCTGACCAAAGGGCCAGCGCCCCCCACCTGGGCATCAATGATTTTCTGCTTGGAGTCTACAGCTGCTTGCATCTCTGCGTGGTCCTTTTTCAGCTCCTCCTCCACTGACATCAACCTGTGACCGGAGACAAGGACAGTCAGGCTGGCACTTGAGGGAGCAGATGACGAGGTGGGTGTGGGGCCTTGTGGGCCTAGACCATCGTACCTGCACAGAGGTGACGTACTAGGAGAGCCTCTCCTTTGTCCACAGACCTCCTGCACTTGCCCGGGACAGACACCCTTCCCCAGGCCCCCAGCCACTGACACGGGCTAGATCTATTGCTTCCTTACACTTCTCCTGCCTATGCTGTTCCCAAATCCCCAGAAGCCCCTGGAGCTGCCCCTTTCCTGATGTTCTTCCAGGAGCCAAGGTGGGTGGGAGCGGGTGTTGGATCCTTTCCATCCCCCAGAGCCAGGCAGGTAGTATAAAGTTATGGGTCCTGGGGCATAGATGGGAGGACAAAGGCCCTGGAGGGCACTAGAGCGTCTCCCTGACTCCGTATTCACTGAGGCTGTGCCAGGCACTCGTGGTATAGAGATGAATGAAGTGCAGTCCTCTCTCTCAAGGAGCTCACAAAGCGGCAGGGACACAGGCAGGCAGACAGTTGCTACGCCCTGCATGGGAAGCTCAGGGGCCGTGGGGACAGAGAGCAGGAAGAAGCTAATCATCCTGGAGGGTGAGGTGGAGGCGTGCACATACGAACTGGACCTCTGAAGGACGAGCAAGGTCTGCAGGTGGGCGACAAGCAGGGAAGAGGAGGGATGCTGCCTGCAGAAGCTCAGAGCTCAGGCAGGTGTGGGTCTGTCACCAGCTGCTCCTTGCCTGAGACCCTTCCTGCCCTCATCCTGCGGGTCTTTCACACACCCATCAATCACTCTTGACCACTCCCATCTTCCAACTCAATTCTTTTAGCTTCGAGACCCTATGCGCTCTCGGTTTGCTAGCTTCTAGGCCACTGTTTGCAGATGCCTTGTCCTGTCTGTCCCCAGGATGTCAGGGCTCCAGGAGGGTGCCTTGCCCTCCATATTTCTCACACTATACACACTTCTCAGGCGAGCTTCATTTCCATCTCTACCATCACAGCTTCTCCAGTCCAGCAGAGCAGCCCCATGGCCCCCGAGTGAGCACCTGGCCCACAGCACAGTAGATGCACAGGGAGGTTAATGGTGCGGGGGCAGGAACCACACAAGGCTGCTGTGAGAAGTCAGTGGGGTCGGGGGGGCAGAAGCACTAATCAGGAGGAAGGGGTATGGGGCTGTGCCAAAGGGGGTTCCTTGTTATAGGAACGCAGACATGGAGCAAAGCCTGTGAGAAGGGTGGGGGACGATGGGGGGAGACAGGCAGTAGACGGTATCATCGGATTTACCCTCCTGCCATCGAGAAAAATACAAACAAAAAAACTAGAAAACCAGGCAACCTACATGAAACAAAGGCTTCCAGACACTGAACAGGCAGTGCAGTGGTGACTCCTGGGAGACCGGAGCACGCAAGGCGAACCCTGCTCACTGTCTACAGTGTCCGCGCCACACAGAAAAAGAGAAGTGACCTCACAGAGCTGAGGAGACCCAGGAGGGCAGCGGGGCAAGACAGGTAGGATTTGTGGGACAGGGCCGGGGAGGAGGAAGATGCAGAGAGAACACCCATCTCCTGAGGGGCCTTCTGGGTCTCTGACCGAGGACTGGCCTGCAAGCCTGTGAGAACACAGCCAGGCCGGGGCACGAACCATTGGAAAGGAGTTCACACAACCCCCTTAGGAATACTTCAGCTCCTTCCAAGCGCACTGGGAAAATGTACTAACATCGGAGGCCTCAAACAGACTCCCCCAGAAGGAAAGTGCTCCAATAGCACGGCCACGTTAGATCTGGATGCAAGGCTGTCCAGGACCCACCCAACCAAGTTTTACTGTAAGCCTCAAAAGAATCGTTAAACTGATTCCAAGGAACCTCACTGTGACCAGAACAAAACCCAAAATATGTAAAGGGACACAGAACCACCAGCATCTAAAGTTCGCAATGTCTGGCATCCAACCAAAAATCACCAAACACGCAGAACGGTAGGAAAACAGAACCCATAACGAGGAAGAGAATTAGAGAAAACAGACTCAGAAATGTCACAGGTGACAGAATTAGTAGACAAGGACGTTAAGACAACTATTATAAATATATTTCGTGACGAAAGCAAGAGCATGATGAGAAGAAACGGATGGGATTCACTCCAAATTTAAAAGGATCTAGAGGCAAAAATGCAATATCTGAAATGAAAAAAATACTAGACAGAATTAACAGCAGATTAAGGCACTAAAGAAGTGATTCGTAAACTTGAAGACACAGTAACAGAAATTATCTAAGAATGGGGAGGCCTGACCATATACCCAGAGATCCAAGAGCTCAACAGACCGCGAAAACATCAAGAAAACTACACCGAAGCACAACATGATCAAGTTATTGGCAATCAGTGATAAAGAAGTAAAGCTTTAAAAAATCCAGAGGAAAAAAAAGGACATTAAATATAGAAGAACAAAGATAATGACAGAGGACCTACTATTACAGCCAGAACGGGGGCCACATCACGAAAAGTTCTTAACGGAAGAGCTGAAGAGTTGCGACAAACACCATGTGGCCTGAAAAGCTCAAAATACTTATTATCTGCAACTTTACAGAAAGTTTCCAACCCCCGCCCTCAAGTGACAACAAAGAAATATCGTTACTAAGCCAACAGAGGAGATAAAATGAAATCGTCAGAAATACTCGATATAAAAGAGGGCAGGAAAAAAAGGAACAAAGCAGTACACATAAAACGAAAAGCAAGACAGTAGGTTTAAACATATTCATGTTGACAATTACGTTAAAGCTAAGTCGTCTCAACATTCCAATTAGAAGGCAGAAACTGTCAGATAAAAAGCAAAAACAGCAAGGTGTCTGTAAAAGAAACTCACTTTATGTAGAGACACCCAGATGGGTTAAAAGTATAAGCATGGGAAAGGATGTACCAGACTAACACTGTTAAAAGGAACTAGGGGCAGGTGTATCAACATCAAACATTTCAGAGCAAGTAGGGCTACAAAAAAGGTGATTTGATGATGATAAAGAGGTCAGTTCGTTAACAGTATACATCACAATCCCAAACGTGTGTGCGTCTAACGATAGTTTCAGTGTATGTAAAACAAAAACCAACAAATAAAGACAGACAAATCCGTACTTTGGACTAGAAACTTCAATATTCTTTTCTCGATGAGTAAACAAGTAGAAAAACCAGTGAAGATACAGAAGTCTTGAACAACACCATCAACCTAATTGACCTAAGTGGCATTTATAGTCAGGGAGGAAATACAGCAGGATTGGTTAGTAGAAATAAACGTGCTAAATAAGCCGCTGAAATCAGAGCATGTGCCTCTCAGAGAACAGACACAGTGAGCAGGAGGTGGTTAAGCTGAAAAATGTTTTCCTTTCTCAGAACCACACACGTGGAGTCGGCCAAGAGCAGAGCTGGCGGTCAAGTGAACAGTAGGTTCCTAGTCACCCTGGTTATAAGCCTGCTGCTAACCATTTTCCTATGAACAAACCCACAGGTAAACCAAACAAACAGCAATTAGAAGCAGAAAAACAGGCAGTCTAAATAGGACTGTGGGAAAGGTTTCTGCAGTGGATAAAGCATGAGGCCAGGTGGGGGAATGTGCACACCTGTGAAATCTGTCCAGGTGACAGGCTCTTATACCATGTAAACAAACAAGCTCTAAATCCACACTGTCTCTCTTATACCTGGTATTACTGTCATAAGGAAGTAAATGCCAGGATTGGGACTGTGGGTTCACTTAGATGCTACACCATCAATAAAGAGTCAGCATTAAAACCAATGGTCCCCCTGGAAATCTTCCCGCATAATCCACAGGCACCTTAAAACTCAACACATTCAAACCTGGCACGGTCACCTCGCTCCCCGCTCACCCAAACTGCTCCTCTTCCCAAGTTTCCCATCTCAGTAACTGGCACCACGATACACCCAGATGCTCTCAGTAGAAGCCTAGAGGTTATTCTGTCTCCTTCTTCCCTCTCACCTCCCATATTCACCCAGGGAACATAACTGCCATTTATTCCTACTTTTCCTGCCCCGAACTGGGTCCTCGCTGTCTTTCCTGACATCCCAATCCTGCTTCCAAACTCCCCTGAGAGCACTTACCAAGGAAACATGACCCCCTAACAGGGCCCTCGGGCCCTTCGTGAGCTGGGCCTGGCTGACCTCACGTCCGCCGGGCCCAGCTTTGCATCTTATTGTCAACGCACACGCTGTGACGTGTGGGGATCCCCACACTCCGGGCTACCCCATACCTGCCAGGCCTGTGCCACGCTGTCCCCACCTCCTAGGACACTCTCTTCCTTCCTATCGCCACACTCGGCTCACCCTGCCGCTCATGGGCCCCTCCCCTGACCAGGAGCCTCCTGGAGGGCAGTGGACAGGTCTGCCCGCTCTGGGCATGTGGGGCCGGGGCTGGCTCCCGAGCAGGGACGGGCGCCCTCACCTGCTGATGATGCCCTTCATCTGGATGTCCTTGTCCTCCTGCTGCCGCCGCAGCCGCTCCTCGCCCTCCTCCAGCCGCGCCTGGTACTCCAACACCAGCTTCTGCGTCGTCTCCTCCTGGCACTTGAATAGGGTCTCATACTCCTCCAGCTTTTTGTTGGAGATGCGTAACTTGTCCTGCAGCACTGCCAGGTCCTGCCAGGAGGGCAGCGTGCCACGAGCACAGCACCCAGGACAGAGAGCACAGCCTCGTGAGCCGGAGCAGGAGCACGGGGTGGGAAGGAGCCCAGCTTGAAATGCTCCCGGGGCGGTCAGCATCCCAGGCTCACTTCACTCAGCGAGGAGATGCCAAGCACTGCCCCCCATCTGGGGCCCTCTCCACGCCAAGCTCCCCCAGCCTGACCTTACGGCTGAGAGCATGAAGACTCAAACCCAGATCTCTCAGAAGTAAAGGTTTAACTAGGGTCTTGACCTTTTCATTAAAAGGTTAAAACACGCTTGAATACGTTAAGGAGATCTGACTGTGTGCCCTGTGAGGTAATAGCTCTACTAGAGGGGAAACTGAGGCCCAGAAGGCAAAGTGACCTAGTCACACAGAGTAGAGTGACTGACAGGCGGGGTAAGATCCTAGCCTCCCAGATTCTATCTGACCCCGAAGCCGGGGTGGTGGTGCAGGGAAGTGGACACAGAGAGGTTAAGGGCAAGGTGGTCTTGGCTTTCTGGCTCTGATTCGGCCCAGCACGCTCAGCCTCTGGGGAAGAGAAGGAGATGTAAGGCAGCAAGAGAAGAAGCAAGCTGGGGGGCTGTGCAGGCTGGACAGAGGGCGGGGCAGGGTCGACGCCAGAATCGAGGGCTTGGGGCCTTGGTAACAGGAGCCCAACTCACTCAAGGGCAAAGGGCCGCCCAAAATCAGCGGGGCAGCAAAGCCAGAGAGACCCAGCTCAAGCCCAAACGTAACCCCTGAAACAAAGCTGGACCCACCGGGCAGCCTGGCTCTGTGAGAAATGGCCCTGGCCCCATCCTGGGTCTGCTGCCTAGCTGGACAGAGGGGTGTGGGAAGGGCCTGACAGGCAGGACCAGGTCTCCGAGGAGCTTGGGCAACAAAGGCCTCCTGGATTTGCCTGGGAGGGTCAGCGGCAGAGATGGCGAGAGAAGCCGCAGCACATTCATCCCAGGGACAATGAGGAAAGAGGACACGCCAGCTGCAGCCTGACTTACACTCACTCAGGTCAACCTAGCCACTCACGAACGGGAACCTGAGTCTCAGAAAGGCAGAGCTTGGCCCCAGGTTCACGTAGGGAGCCGGGGGTGAGGCTGGCCCTCCTTGCTGCCCAGCCGAACCCTGGCTCTTGGAGCACTATGCCCTATGTTCCCTGGTCCCCCTCACATAATTATGGTGAAAGCGAGCGGATGTGGTGGACCCAGGGGATGGCGGAGGGTGGCGGAATGCAGCATGAACATGAACCTCGCCCTAGGCCAGGAGAGGGAGGCTGCCCCCCTGCCCCCCATGCCCTTGCCGAGAGGCTGCTCCAGGCTTTCTTGGGGCTGAGAGGGTGGGAGCACCAGCAGTGAGAGGGGGAACTGTCTGGGGGACCTTGCACTGGTCCTGGGTCGACCTTGGCTTTGGCCTCCAGGAAGAGACAAGAACCAGCCACGGATCCAGGGAAGCTGCTGCAACTGGGAGAATTCTGGAGAAGAGAAGCACCCTACTGTCCCTCCTGAAATGCCGGATACGTGTGGTGGCGTAGGATCTGGATATTTTAGAAAGATTTTTTTTTCCCCTGGGGGGAAGAACACATCTCAGTAGCAACCTGACCCCTCACCCTGGCTCTCTCTCTCCCAGGCCCCGGTGGAGATGGGGGCTGGAAAAGAGCCAGGCCTCAGGCAGGCACAGGCCCCGAGTGGAGGGGGCCTGGCTGGGGTGCTTCTCCGGCTGTCTCGGGACCCACACCTCCGCCTCCTCATGCACGAGGCTCCCTCAAGGGACTCCATGTGCCTCTTCGGCACCCCCGAACGTCAAGTCCCAGATTCTCTTAAGCTCAGCTGCCCAGTCACTCAGGAATGAGGCCTCCCAGAGGTCCAATGACCAGCTTCTGGGAGCCTGGATTCAGGAGAAGTCCCAGCTGAGTCTCACATACAGCCCGTATGGGAAATGTCACGTCTAAGCTAAATCGTTCTTGCTGTCCTTCCAGATTCCACTGATCACTGTCCTCAAGTGAAACCAGGGGCTGAGAGGGGACTGGCCATTTGCAGGACCGAGCAGCGCCCCCATTCAGGGCTCGAGAGGAGAGAATCCTGCCAGCTGCCAAGGGAGGCAGCCCCGCCCTGCCCCAAACTGCCAGGGTCCAGCTTTACCTTTTCTGCTTGGCTGAGCTCCTCCTTACTCCTTAGCCTATCCCTGTGGGGGGGGTCTGGGCCCAGGCCCTCGTCTTCTAACAACTGCGCGTTCATGGTCAAGAGCCAAGCGGCCGTGCGGTCCAGGGCATTGGGGCTCACGGGTGAAGGGCCCTACAATGAAACAACAGCTGTGAGGGGCTGGAGGGAGGCAGCGGGGAGGGGAAGGGTGGGAGTGGCACCCAGTGAGCCATAGGGACAAGTGGCTCAGAGGCACGGTGGGGAGGGAGGGGACTTTCAGCTGGCTGGGCACCTACTGATGCAGCCCCTAACCCAGGAAGCTCCACCTCCTGGACAGCCTAAGGCAGAGTCAAGAGCCCAGGTGGCCTCCTGAGCTGTTCTCTGCCACCCAGGTGAGAATGGGTGGTCTGGCCCTGGCAGACCAGGAGGTCTACCCAGGGCACGTCAGTTCCGCATGCTGCGTGTGGCCCTTGGGTGACAGAGGACACCCAGGTTCCCTGGAAGCCGGCTGGGTGCAGGGCGGGGGCCTGTGAGGGCTGGGTAGGCTCCTACCCTGGATAGGGCTGTAATAAGCTTGGAAATGGAAACGGATCGGCCCCTCCTCCCTCCTTCTCCCTGATCTGGGTGTCTCAGGGAGAACTGGCAGAGGGACCGTAAGGCCAGTGTCCCTGGTTCCCAGGATTTAGGCAGGGGCCAACGAGGCAGGTGCCAGTGGGGCTGAAAAGAGGGTGGTGACATGTGTGGCAGGCTGGTGGGATGGGCTGTCATTCGGCGTGGGATGGCAGCCGGGTGCGGCGGAGGTGGAATGACCAGGGGGAGCAGCGTGAGTGGGCGTGACGACCCGGCCCGGCCCGCCCTCCCCTCCGCCCGCAGCACTGACCTGCTTGTGCAGCGCGCGCGGCTTCAGCTCCGGGCTGTCGCCCTTGGAGGAGGAGGACTGCTGCCGGAGCCGGGCGCCAGGGCCCGCCCAGTCGGGAGAGGCCGACGCCAGGGTGCCGCTTGAGGGCCGCGGGTACTGCAGGGTGCTGAGCAGGGTGGGCGGCGTCCGGCCCCGGGGGGCCGGAGGTGGCGGTGGAGGCGGAGGCGGCGGCTGGTCGATCCGCCGCTGGGGGCCGGCGCTGTTCTGCCGCGGCACGGTGGGCTGCCCACCCTTCTCCATCAGCGACATCTGGCGCCGCGCCAGCTCGCCCGGCCGTCGCCCCAGCTCCTCGGCGGCACCGCCGTAACTTCCCAGCTTGGCAGCGGCCGCCAGCTCCTCACTGTTGCTGTGGGAGCTCAGTGAGCTGTGGCCCTCGGAGCCCGAGTCGCCAAGGCCGCGGGGTGACAGAGGCAGGCCAGCCGCCATCTGGTACACAGGGTTCTGGAAGGAGAGCGGGGCCAACAGCTGAGGCCGGCCGGGCGCGCCCTCCGAAGTGCCCGGCGTGGTCGGCGTCTGGCCTGCCCGCCGCACTGTGGCCAGCCCTGCCAGGCTCCCGGGGGCTGCCCGGGCTGGCCACCCAGCCACCAGCTGAGTTGCAGGGGCCTGCCCGTCCGTGGTGAGGGCGTCAGGGCCCGCCGGGGAGCCCGCCTCCCCGTCCAGCGTGCGGGCGTCTTGGAGGTCCATCATGGACAGGCTCTTGCCACCATTGGCCATCTGAAGATCAGGCTCGTTGGCTTCCGAGTAACTCGAGCTGCGGGCAGGTGAGGGCTGGACCCCGGAGGACCTTGTGACAAAAAACAAGTCCTTGTTTTCGGGGGTTGGAGACGGTAACCGGGTGAAATCTATCAGACTGCAGGGAGACAAGCACACACAGGGAAAGAAGGGGGAAAAGAAGAACTGTGAATGCGGCCAAGGCGGGTCCGAACCGACAGCCCCCGCCGA